GCCCAAGTCCCCACCAGGCTGCGCAGACTCCCCCGCGAGAACCTCCCTCCGCCCCCAAGCCAAGCCCCCGTCTGACCCTGTGCCCGGCTCTCTCTGCGTCCCCGGTGTCTGTCTCTCCAACCCCCTAGGCTGCCTCGTCCCTGCTCTTTTTTTGTTTTTGAGACAGAGTCTCACTCCGTCGACTGGGCTAGAGTGCCCGTGGTGTCGGGCCATCACTAAAAACAGCAACCTCCCAAACCCGCGCACCTTGATGCGGTCGGAGGAGTTGTGACACTCGCTGGGGGGCAGGGAGAGGCGTCAGGGGCGGCGGGGCGGGGAGGCCAGCCCGGGGGCCCGTCCTGGGGGCCCCTCCCCCATACTCTGTGGGGCCGCGCACTCACAAGTGGAAATTCTCCTCCCACACGGGGTTGAGGTTCCCGTAGATGGTTTTTGTCCTCTTCTTGGTCTTGCCGACCTGGACCGTGACGTAGGGGTCGCTGGACCCCGTCTTGTCCTTCGCCTGCAAGCCCTGGGCGCAGACCACTGAAAGGCACACGGGGCAGCACGGCGTGGGCTGGGGAGCCAGGCAGGCCGAGAGCGGTGCCGCCACGCGCTCCAAGCTGTCACGGCGGACCGCTTCGGTGTGGCCCCACAGCCACGGCCCGCCAACCATGGCCCCACAGCCACGGCCCCACAGCCACGGCCCCACAGCCACGGCGGTTGGCGTCTGGGCGAGGACGACGACATCAAAGTCCCGCGTGGAGCAGAGCGTTCAAGAGGGAGTCCGACGAGCTTCCTGGCCAGGTACGATCATCGAGGTGCGCCCGCTCAGCTGGCGAGATGGCACGTGTTGGTACAACCTGGTAGTGAGAAGGAAGGTTCTGGGGGGCGGCGGCCTGAGGGGGTGCGGGCGCGAGAGGAGGGGTTCTGGGGGCGGGGCCTGAGGGCGGGGCGTGAGAGGAGGGGTCTGGGGCGGGGCCTGGGGGCGGGCGCGTGAGTTGGGGCGAGGAGGGGTTGTGGGGCGGGGCCTGCGGGGGGCGGAGGCGTGAGAGGGGGGTTCTGGCGGGCCGGGGCCGCTGAGGGGCGGGCGTGAGAGCGAGGGTTTCTGAGGCTGCGGCCTGCGGGGCCGGGGCGCGTGAGCAGGAGGGTTCTAGGGGGCGCGGGCCTGCAGGGCGCGGGCGTTTGGAGCGCACACTCCTCGAACCCGTGCCCATGGTCCCGACGGGAAGCAGGGCCTGGCAGCTCGTTCCCGGGGGGGGTGACGCAGCCTGGCCGTTTTGGCGGGGGACAATCTAAAGAGAGACACCCGGGCCCTAGCGTCAGATTCTCCAAGAGGGCCGCGTCATTGAAATAGCGCAAGGCGCCTTTCGTGGGAAGTTCTTGAAGTCGGCCCGTCATCTGTTCTCCCGTCCTGCAGACAAGAGACCGACAGCTCCGCCGTTTCGGCGCCGATCGTGCACATCAGCGTGGAGATCAAAGGCGAGGAGAAGGTGGCGCCCTACCACGTCCAGTACACCTGTCTGCACGAGGTGAGGCCCGCCGCCCGCCCTCCGCCCCCACCGGGCCAGGCACCCCTCTTCCTCTCCTCCCGGCCGGCTCTAAGCGCGCACAGACGGGCTGTCTGCACTGGCGTCTGTCTCTTCCGGCCGCCCGGGGCTTCCTGGCGGGAACTCCCACCCCGGCGCTTGGTGCGTTCAGTGGATGCTGGTGGGCGGGGGAGTGATGCTTGCCTGACAAACGGGCGAGGGGCGGATGGCAGGACGGACGGAGACGG